AATATGTAACAAATAAAATACAACAGAGAGTTACAAGCGCTAATTTTAATTCAACTTTTAAAAAATAAACCACAAAAGAGGGCTACAAATCCTAATTTTTAATTCTAACATATAAACATAAAATAAAGAAGAGGATTACAAGCCCTAAATTTAGTTTGATGTATAAACATAAAACAAATGAGAGGGCTAACCTATTTCNATGTACAAAACGTATCAAAATTATCTCTCACGTGACATCCTTATGAAATATTTTTAATTAAAACAAATATTTTTAATTATAAAAACAACGTTCATCTATGTAATTATATCTTCGTATTATTATTAGACGACAAGCATTAGAGTTGTTAGAAAAAATTTTAAGGTGTTTTTTTTCAAAATGTGAGGGGGCCATGACCACTTTGTCGTGTCATGCCGTCTTTGCGTATAATAATATAAAATAAAAATAGCATTTTTGTATGCATGCAAATGATATTACGTGGACCAAAAACAAAAGATTGAATAGGGCATTGGATGGCCACTGGACCGTGTTGAATACTAACATATCAGTCTAGTCTCCATTACATGTCCTTCACGAAAAGCTACCGTCAATTTATTAACACAAATAGTAAGTTCACCCCCCTTCCTTCAAATTCAAAGTCTTTCAAACCGCGTCGTACCGTTTGGCAATTTCTCACATAGTAGGTCGTAGGTAATGGAGGTTTATCACATGAAATTGGGAAGGTTTTTAGTTCCTTGAGATATATGTCTCATATATTTACATCATACGTATATTAGTTAACAAACATATTGAAAGAGTCAAAGAGTAGATGTTTACCGTTCACACTCGTCTAAATGTTTTAGAAAATAAGAAAAATGTCATTACTAAGATGAAAATACTTTATTACATTGACTAGCAGAATAACGTCGTCAAAGATTTTATTAAATTCGGGGAATATTACGGTGTGAATTTACTTTCCATTATCCTATTGAGAAAAAACTGTAAAAGATAATAAGTTTCGTCTTAAATTTCACCCAAAAAATTAGTAAATTCTACCAAAAATGTGATATATATACCCAAAAAAAGTAGTAAGTGATAAGACATTAGAATTTTTTTTTGTACCATAATCAAACCCTTATTAAATATACTATATCGTGTGAAGTGTTATTTCCAACAAGTTTTTTTTTCTTCATTTTGTTAATTAAGTCTCATTTTCACATTTAGTGATGATCATCAATTGATTTCTGTCGATAGTAGTCGGAAAATTTATGAGAATCCAAACAAAGGAAAAATTGCCTAAGTCTCAAATAATATCTTTTATCAGAAAAAAGGAAAAGTTGCCTAGTCCCCATAGTGATGATCATGAATTACTCCCTAACATACTTATAAATGACTCGTATTTTAATAAAAATTAACAATAAAGACTTTGAAGAAAATGTTCCAAACCCATCATGCTGTCCTGAATAGTCAGAGGTTGGACTGTGTCCAGCTCATTTGTGCACCTACAAGGGTATGACCAGGGACGGAGCCAAACATATTATCAAGTGGGAGAAATTTAAACTATATTAATATTAAAATTTAAAATATTCACAAAAGTATAATTTTATTAATAGAACACCAATTAAAAATGTAATTCATATACATGAGCGATATACAAAATGAGCCAATAAAAAAAAACTCATTATAAATTTATCTATAAAACCTAACAAAAAAATTTTGAACCGTAAAATTAGGCTCAATCATATACTACATTTTAAGACAAATTTTCATAACTAATTCAAAAATTAATTTATTCATACACAAACTTAATATTCATCATTAAATTTTAACAAACAATCGAAACTAACTTAAACTATAATTATTCTAGTAAACTAAACCTAGGTATATGAAGTACTTAACTTATCACAATAAAACTGTTTAAACTACCAAATCAAAATAATTTAGTCTAATTATAATGGATGACTACAAGTCTTAATTCTAATTCTACAAATAAAAATAAAACAAATGAGACGACTACAAGTCCTAATTCTAATTCAACATATAAAAATAAAATACTAGATAGAACTACAAACCCAAATATCAATTAAATATATAAAAAAATAAATCATAGAAGAGGACTACAAGCCCCAATTTTATTTCAACATAGAAAAATAAATATAAGACTACAAATCCTAGTTTCAATTCAATACATAAAAAATAAAACATAAGAGATTATTACAAGCCTCAATTTTATATTTCCAATTCAATATGTAACAAATAAAATACAACAGAGAGTTACAAGCGCTAATTTTAATTCAACTTTTAAAAAATAAACCACAAAAGAGGGCTACAAATCCTAATTTTTAATTCTAACATATAAACATAAAATAAAGAAGAGGATTACAAGCCCTAAATTTAGTTTGATGTATAAACATAAAACAAATGAGAGGGCTAACCTATTTCGTAATATATTAGTTAATCTTTAAATGTCCAAATTTTTGATATCATCTTCCATTAATATTTACAAGTGAAACTCATATATTTGTTAAAATAACATAACTACTCTTAAATCTTTAAAAAAAAATTCAGTGGAGACAAATATCTAATAAATTCTAAATTTTTTAAAATTATAGTTAATCCTCAAAAATTTTTAAAATTTCAGTGGGGTAGCTGCCCCCACTGTGAATCCACCCCCTGGGTATGACTAATGCATGACGCTATTAAACAATCATCCAATCCAAAAATTTATACCATTAGACATACTCTATAACCTACAAGTTAAATTTTGAATCTTGTACCTAAAAATCATTTAATTATAAGGGCGATGTGATTTTGGGACTTGCAAGGGAAAATTTGTTAATTATCATGGTAATAAAAAGATTCAAACAAATGAACTCATAATATGATATCTCATTAAAGGACTTGACTATGATACCAAAATTTAATACATTTGTAGGCACTTTTACTATATTTTTGACTATTTTATTATTGTTGTGATTTCAAAAAAAATGATAAAAATAATTACTAAAAGAGTAATAAAAAAACCCACAAATATAATAAAAGTACTCATGAATGCAATAATTTTTTTATACCTAAGAAAAATAATAAAAATAGTTACCACAAATATAGTAAAAACCCACACAACAATGATAAAAAAAATACAAAAATGAAAAATTTTTTGATTGTAAAATGACTCATCAAAATTATAAAATACCATTTAAATTAATAAATTTTTTAGGTATGGTACCGAATTTTTTTTTTTTGACAGTACTCTAGTCAAATTCTTTATTAAAACACCATTTACTCCAAAAATAAAGCCAAAAAAAAAAAAGACAACGTAGTATCCGAAGTTTAGATAACACTCTACATACATACATAAATGCATACGTATAAAAGTGGCCGGTGAAAGCGCGGTGGCCTCAAGAGTCAAAGAGTCAGCTTGCTATTAGCCAACTTTGCCGGTACCGTACGTAGGATTTTAACAAACAACACAAAAGGCTGTGGCTAATTGATCTTCTGCTGTGATAATTTGGTGGGTCCCACAATTTGTTGACAAACGATGTTTCCAACTTCCCTTCACTAAATATAATTAATTAATTATAGACCAAATTATTATTATTTTTTTTCTTTCCTCAACTATAGTTTCAATTTCACTTTGGCCCATAAATAATTATATTTTCTATATTAATCCCTCGATCATGATTATTAGTTTATACTGTCAGAAAACCAAACTTCTGTCATTTTTTTTACAAGAAGAGTAAATGAGGACAAAAATGAGATTTCATAATGTTAGGAGAGATGTTTTTTTCCAATTTAGTTGGGTAAAATTCACTTTTTGTCTTAATTTTTTATGAAAAATTAATCAATTATTCAACGATAAGAATAGGGGCGGAGGGACAAAGAGACTGGGGCACATGCCCACCCTGAAAAAAAAATATTATCTTTATATATTTATGATTTTTTATCAGGTAGGTGGAATTAGACCATCCTCATCACCAAAAAGCAAAAATATTAGACTCACTCTAATAAATTTGGACTAACTAAATTTTGTGTAAAAAAATAATTAGACCTACTTTTCGCTCAAAAAAATGTGATAATATGTTAAAAATCTTGAGGAAAAATTGGGCCCACTGCCCACACACAAGTGAAGAGAATAACTCGTTAAATTATATTGAGTTATAATTTTTGTTGAAATTTTATTGATTTTTATTTTGATTATTTTCACAAATGGACCCTAATCATTTTGGCCTTTGAATTCAAAGACATATGCAACAACTAACGAGTGCATGTTCTTTTTCCGTAATTTCGATGACCCGCGATTAGTGATTGAGCTTATTTTTTCGATAGCTCTCAATTTTATGCAATTCATAATTGTCTGAAATTGTTATAATTTTTTAAAATTGATGCGACTCAGCTTGAAATTGATTAGTATTAATTTAATTGCTTATATATGGAAATATATTTTCAATAACATTATTGATAACGTTATCATACAATCTTTGCAAAATTTAAAAAATTGTCAGGGTCTATTGTACATGACTGTAATTAGCCTTATTTTTTTGCAAAAGATTATAATTAGCCTTTTTTTTTAAAGAGTATTGTTTTCATAGATTATGTATATTGGAGTTTGATTCTTTTGTGTTTAATGAGTCTTTAAAATATGCAAATTGATAAGAGAAAAAAATTAAATTTTGTAAGTTGGTGTGTCCACCTTAAAACAAATTTTTGACTTATGGGCAATGTGAAATGAGGTGCATCGTTTAAGGGATCTAAGTATGATTAATCCTTAAGAAAACATCTCCATGAAATGAAACAACATGGCATTATTGGGTGACAAATGAAATAACATTTCCTCAAATCCACAATGGGTATTGACCATTGGACAGTCTGAAGTTAATAATCATCACTGCAGGAAAGATGATAGACTGATAGTTGAATGAGACGAGAACCAGAATTGAAGGGGGCAAAGTGTAATTTGAGCTTGTGTACGAATTTGGGTGGGTCTCACAACGGTTTGACAAAGGAGGATTCCAGCTTGTTTCTTTTAGTTCTGTGTTGCCTAGTTACACGATTCTTCTGTATCTATTTCGGATTATCGGTTGGTCTATAAATATGTAATCTTGGAGCTCACATTCCTCGCAATCTCTCACACCCACTCGTCTAAATTCCCTTGTCTTTCTTTTCTCTCTGATGTTTTTTGGTTTTCTGCAACTGAAAAGCTTGCTTTGAGCTAGAGAGGAGAGAAATTTGGGTGGAGTGATAATGAGGAGTAACAGTTCTCCGGATAAACTTGACCGCAAAACGATTGAGAGGAACCGAAGAATACACATGAAAAGTCTCTGCTTCAAGCTCACTTCTCTTGTCCCTCCCCACCACTTCAAACCATCCAAGGTACTCTCTCTCTCTCTCTCTCTCTCAGTGAGTCTGTGTGTTTGTTTCCAGTTTTTCTTTTTTCACAGGTTTATGGGATGTGCCAGAACAAAAGGCTTGGGTCATGGAATCATCTAATCTAACCAGAAGCTGATGTATATAAACTGATATTTACTCAATAATTAGTTTTAAAATTATTTTAACCACATCAATGGAGTAGAGTAATTAAAGAACTGGATGTATAACAGCAGCAACTTAAGTGGTCATGCACCAGACCTAATTTCTACGGCCAGAATTGCACTCTTAAATTAAGGAGTATTGTACATAAACACCATTTCAATCACTTCTAATATGAAGATTTCTAATTCGGAACTACCCTTATATTGATTTTTTTTTTATATAAAAAAAAAGCATAATCTGAATATTATCGTGACAAAAAGAACAAACGATTAACACCTAATTTGGTCCCCATGGTGCTGGAAGTAATACTGGATCTAGCATTAGGTCCATTTGGAAAAATGGATGGAACATTTAATGAGGATAGAGGGTTAATTTTCAACCTAACAAGGACAATGTCATTAGCAATTTTCAGCCAGTGGATCTAGGCCAGCACACAAGTATTTATATTTACATTGATGATAGAAATTTAAGATGAAAACAACTGCATAATACTTGTACTTTGCAAATTAAATATCGTGTCCAGACTTGTCAATTCTTTCTGGCCGGATGGCCTTTATTCATTGGTACATGTGTTTCAATCACATGGTACTAGTATAGCATGAGTCGTCGAAGTATTTTTTTAGAGATATAGGATAAACAACGGATAGACATGATCATTTTTAAACCACACAGTCGAGTTAAGGGAAGACAAACTTTTTTTTTTTTGATCAAATGGGAAAACAAACTTGCAATCTCGTGATATTACACTATGACATGTCCGAGCTGTACAGAGGGATTTGTTCAATAACGTTATGGTTACTAAAATATTTTCAATATGTCCTAATTTTTAAGGTTTCAGTTATGAAAATGTAATCTTGCTGCTGCTTCACCATCAACGTTGGCTAATGTTGTTTTTTTTTTTCATTAATATTAATTACTCAAGATTAGCATTTTTTTTTTGTTTTTCGAATATTTTCAGGACATGCTATCACAACAAGATCAGCTTGATCAAGTCGCTACATATATCAAGCAATTGAGAGATAGAGTACAGGAATTAGAGGGGAGGAAGATTAAGCTATCATTGGGCACTAGTGGGAGTAAAAATAATACAAAAGATTCGATTATGACTGGCTCAAGACTGCCGGTGGTAGAACTGCGAGAATCGGGATCAACTCTAGAAGTAGTTTTGATAAGTGGATTGGAAAAGAACTTCATGTTGTATGAAGTCATTAGCATTCTTGAAGATGAAGGAGCTGAAGTTTTGAGTGCTACCATGTCAACCGTTGGTGATAAGGTTTTCCACACTGTCCATGCTCAGGTAGTTAATCGCCAGATGCTTTCTAGTATTTGTGTTATGGTGTAAAATTAATGGCTAATAATGTGGCTAAAGTATAAGATCTATTTCATAACATCTATTTAAGTACTTTTTCTTTTGTATCTTTTCGTTTTATCCCTTGTTCCTTGTAAACTTAGTGGCGTTTTGATATATAATAAAAATGTGTATACATAGACATTTATCAATAAGTTGCATATAAATAAGTTTTGCAAAAAACTAATTAAACATACACATATATATATTTTTTTACAACATTGTTTTTTGCTTGAAGAAAGTACTTTGAAAAAACGTTTATAGATCGTACAATGATAATTGAAGCTAAATATTATTTGGGGTTCTTTGTAGGTGAGAATTTCTAGATTTGGCGTGGAGACTGCAAGGGCAAGTCAGAGATTGCAAGAATTGGTTTGTTGAATATTTTTTCAAAGTTTTTTGAGTAACTGCAGGATGAAGAGCTCCACCAGAAGGATTTGTTCCCATTTTATGGGTTTTTTATCCTATCCTGCAGAAAATCAATGTACCAAATGTACCAAAGAAGGGATTTTTATCTGGTTGTTACTGTAGACTCTAAAGGCAAACCATATATAGTTCTATTGAAGCCGTAACAATGAGCATATTTGTATTTTTCAGATTTGAATGAAATAATTAAGTTGAATCTCACTAACTTTTCATTTCTCAATTCCTGTCTTTTAGGCTTTTATCTTTTGAGAAAGCTAGCTAGGTGACCTACAGCTATGAGAATGTACTAGTTCTAGAATCATCAATAAAATGGATTTATTTCCAAAACAAAAAAAAACCCGTGGCCCGAACTAATTCATGGACTCTGCTTAGGTCAAAATATATGAATCGACCGCGATACTCACCCAATACTAAACATATTAGATACGCAGTGGGTGTAATAAAATTTTGATATCTAAAACCTATATGCTTCCGATATGGAAGTTAATACGCACAGTAATATGCTTAATTTGTAATTTTAGTCCTTAACTTATCTTTTTAATTTGACATACAATGTTCTATTATTATCGTTAGATTAACACAGAGTCTTGATACGGATTAGGGTCAACGCCAAATCGACCCAGAAAACAGGGTCCATTCATATGTGGGAAAATGAATATGAGATTCATATTGTTTGTTGGTTTGTTTTGTCACTATTGATAATAACCAGTACTTCTTGTTTTCTTACATAGAGACCATCCCTCATTGTCCAATTCTCCAACGACTTAAACAAGAAACTACAAAAATTCATGTCAAATTGAATTTTGCCAGTTTCGTTTCAAGTACATTAAGTCAAAAATCATAACAAATTGAGAAAACGAAATCTCCTCCGCTAGTATCACCCTTGCGCTCGTGAGAGTCCAAAGATCCCTTTTTTATTCAAAAGTTAATTAGATAACACTAGTATATATATATATATATATATATATATATATATATATATATATATATATATTCAAGTACTTTTAGATATTTAGTCGATATGAGATCGAGTTCTCACACATAAAAAACACTCTTTTAGTTAAAATATTCTAACAATCCCTCACTTATTTTAATAACAGATACACTATATAAGTAACCGGACAATAAATAGAATATCATATATTGTAAAAGTGGCAATGTCTTTAAACCTTTACTTAGTACTTCAATGTTCCTGTGCTAGAGTCAAAGTAGACTTAGTCTTTAAACGATGACTACTTGAGGGTATGTAGAACCATATCACACACATGATATTTAAGGTGTCCAAAACCAAGTTTCTAAAACTAGCATATTTTCGGTCTTGTGTTTTATCCCAGTTTCTTGAATGCTCTAGAGAATTAGCCCAAATTCTCATTGGAAGCTGCCCGTCTTCCACACTCATATAAGTGAGTCTATCAAGGATGTTCTTATAACTAAGACATCCCACCCAAAAAAGGACTATAGAACTCAGTAAGAGATATTGATCTCATCCTCCAAATTTTTTTTACGAGATCACATGTACTTTACACCATAAGGATGAACAATGAATACAAATTTCAACAATGATATAAATTTCATTGGTACATGTTTCATAAATCAAGTCACTGTATAATTCGTTTGTCCTATTAACCTAGTTCTTGGGATTTCTAGTCCCTAGGTTGGGTATCATCATATGTAACTTAATCCAATACGGGCTTGAGTCCAATCCCCCTTGATGCACTCTAAGTCTTTTCTCTAGCTAGAGCTTTTGTTAATGGATCGGCAAGATTGTCAATCGATCTCACATAATCAACATTAATCTCACCATTATTCAAGTATGATCTCACAGTACTGTGTTTTCTTCTCACAGATTTGAATTTTTCATTATAGTACTTATTACGTACTCTCCCTATTGCGGCATTGCTATCACAATGAATTAACACAGGTGGCCCTGGTTTAGCCCACAAAGATATATTAAACAATAAATCACGAAACCACCCATCTTCTTCACTAGTTGAAGCTAGCGCAATCATTGAGCTTCCTTTGTTGACTTTGTAATAATTTGTTGCTTCTTTGATTTTCAACTTATGGCTCCACCACCTAAAGTAAAAACATAACTTGTAGTGGACATAGAATCACCTGATAGGGTGTTCCAATTTGCAACACATTAATCTTCAAGTACAACAGGATAATTCTTATAAAATAAACCAACACGTATAGTTCTTTTTAGATATCTCATAAGACGATATATTGTATTCCAATGATCCATACTAGATCTACTAGTAAATCTACCAAATACACCCACTGCATAGGCAATATCAAGTCTTGTACAATCAATGTCATATCTAAGATTACCAATTATGCTTGCCTACTCTATTTGATTAATTACATCACTTTTTTTTTTCTGTTGGAAATAAATGAATGCTTGAATCAAAAGGTGTGCAAGCTGGTTTATAATCAAAAAAGTTAAATTTTTTCAAAAATTTTTCTATGTAATGAGATTGATCAAGCATAATTCCATCAACACTCTTTGTAATTTTCATGCCAAGAATTACGTTTGCTTGACCCAAGTCTTGCATGTCAAAATTTCTGTTTAGTAAAGCCTTGGTAATCTCAATCACAAATAAGCTAATGCCAAATATCAAACCATTTTCAAACTTTAAGTAAATACATTAATCACTCTCATTAATCTTAAACCCATTAGCTAAAACACACTAATCAAATTTTTCGTGCCATTGCTTGGGTGCCTGTTTAAGGCCATATAAACATTTAGTTAATTTACAAACTTTATTTTCATGAGCTTGTTGAATAAACCCTTCTGGTTGATCTATATAAATTTCTTCCTCTAGATCACCATTCAAAAAAGTTGTTTTTACATCCATTTGATGTATTTCTAAATTATGTATAGCAGCTATAGTATTAGCAATCTTATGGATGTAATTCCAGAAACAGGAGAAAACGTATCAAAGAAATCTAAATCTTTTTTTTATTTAAAACCTTTAGCTATCAACATCGCCTTATACTTATCTATCGTTCCATCAGATTTGAGCTTTCTCTTTAACACTCATTTACAACCTATAGTTTTACAACCAGGAGGTAAATCTACTAATTTCCATATTTTGTTTGTTATGAGTGAATCATATTCATCATTTACAGCTTCTCTCCAAAAATCTGAATCGGAGATATTAAGGCTTCTTGTAAGTTGGTTGGATCTCTTTCAACATTATAAACAATGTAATCTGAACCAAAATCTTTCTCTACTCTACTCCTCTTACTCCTCCTAGGTTCATATTCTTTTTGTTCTATATTTTCAATCAATGATGAATTAGGAATATCACTAGACTTTGACATATTATCATCACCCCCACTATTTTTATATTTAAAAGGGAATTTATCTTCATGAAATATAGCATCTAGTGATTCATTTACTACATTATTCCCTAAGTCTAAAAATCTATATGCTTTACTAGCTAATGCATCCAATAAATACACATCTAGTCGATCTTATTCCTAATTTAGGAATTTTAGGATCAGTCATCCTAACATAAGCTAAACAGCCTCATACTCTAATGTAATTCAAGTTAGGTTTTCTTTTTCTCCACAATTCATAAGGAGTAATTAGATTTTGTTTACGAGGAACTTTATTCATAAACATAATTTTCAGTTAAGACTATCTCTCCCCACAAATGTTTAGGTGCACTAAAACTAGCTAACATAACATTGGTTAAGTTGATCAAAATTCTATTTTTACGTTCAGCTACACCATTAGATTGAAGAAAGGATGGTGGTGTAGTTTCATGAACTATTCCTAAATACTGCATATGTTCAATTAATCCAAGTGATTCATACTCTCTACCTCTATCACTTCTAAATCGTTTAATTTTTCTATTAAAACGATTTTCTATTTCTTTAATAAAAATAGTGAGTTTTTCAAAAGCATCACTTTTATTTTTCATAAGATAAACATAAGTGTATTTTGAGAAGTCATCAATAAAAGTTATAAAATATCTTTTTCCACCACAAGTCAAAATTCCTTCAAATTCATATATGTCCGTATGTATCAATTCTAATAATTTAGAATTTTTTTCTACTTTGATATGAGACTGTTTTGTTTTTTTGTTTTTGTCATGCTACAATATTCACATTTTTCAAAATTATTGTGTAACTTAGGCAATAAACCTATATGACTCATATTTTTCAAATATTTGCTATTAACATGACAAAGACGAGCATGTCACATATTCACACAAGAAACAATGTAAACGGAAGAAGTAGTTTTATTCATTTCAACATTCAGCTTAAACATACCATCACAAGTATAGCCTTTCCTAACAAATGACCCATTCTTGGTCAGAATAAACTGATCATATTTTATGGTTTGTTTGAAACGAACCTTATTTAAAAGATAACCAGAAACTAAATTCTTTTTAATTTCAGGAGTGTGAAGAATATCTCTTAGGGTCAAAACTCGGTCAGAGGTAAATTTGAGTTGGACATCTCCTATGCCCAAAACACTCACAATATGTGAATCACCAAACAACACTTTTTTATCATTTTCAACGAGAGAATAAGACTTAAACCAAGATTTATCATGACAGACATGCCTGGAAGCTCCAGAATCTACCCACCACCCTTGACTATTCTCAATAAAATTAACCTCAGTAATCATGGCAAAAAGTAGTTCCTCGGTCACATTAGCTTGAGAAGCATAACCCTGTTTTTTAAAACGACAATCTTTTGCAAAATGACTAGATTTTTCACACACAAAACAAGCACCATTATTTGAATGATTATTTTTATTATATGGTTCTTGTTTGGAAGGGGATCCTTGGTTTGGTGCTTAGTTCCATTTCTTTTGAAAATGGTTTTTATTTGAAGCTCTATTAAATATTTTCATGTTATTACTTCTAGGCTTCAAATAGACACCGTTTCTATTATTTTGATCCTTAGAGATGTTATCATTAGATATAATAAAATGTACCTTATTTTTGTTTCCATTACCATTGAGATTCCCGTTAAGTGTGGTTGGTCTTGTCTTGGTTTCTGGCCTTTTCCTAAATTCAAAGCCAAGCCATTAGATTCACCATGCTTAATTCTGACTGCTTGTGATGTAGTCCCTTTTGATACTCCTTCCAAGAAACTGACAGTTTTTCGATAACAGCTGCAACTTGCATCTGTTCATCTACCTTGATTCCTTCGGACAAAATTTCGTGAACAATCATCTGTAACTCATGTGTTTGAGCAATTACAGATTTATTTTTCACCATCTGAAATTTAAAATAGTGGCTACAAGCATATTTTTTCATCCTTGCTTCTTCTAT